ATGCAATTTGTATTCATTGTTCATCTAACAAAGGTACGTCAAAAAGTGCATAAAAACACAACAAATTTGCATTAATTTAACAGAATCTGAGGCATCTCAAAGTGCATTAAAAAAAAAGTGCACAGTTGTAGCATTATATTTGTTTGCTTTAGAAGTCAAATATTCAGGTTATTTTTTTTTAACCAGGCACATCACAAAGTGCATTTAACTGAATACAATAATAGAAGTCTTAATAAATGTCCTCACTTACAAAATAAAATTGGATACATATGACACATGCACATCAAAAAGTGCATTAACAAACAGTTAAAGAGCTCCAATATAACAAAAAGAGGTAGTACTCTAGCAATAGGCCTACTATTTTTTCACTTTTCAAGTAAAAACAAAAATCACATTGTTTTGATCACATTTGACCCAGACACATTACAAAGTGCATTTAAATGAATACAAAAAGAACTGTCAAACCCTTCAGTGCACAAACCCATAACAAGGGATAAGGGTAACTAACATATAAATGAATACTACACTACAGTGACTACACGTCTAAGTATAGTAAACTAGGTGCTTACTATCACCTCATTTGTGATTCGTCATCGCTGACTTTCTCAATGGGAGAAGTGAAATGTTTTGTTTTGAACAAGAGCAGTGATTTTTGGCTCATAGGATGCCAATGCAATCCTAAGACATTGGTGAAGAGTGCCGTCAGTCAGGGAGCAGCGAGTGCTACTTTTTATTCAGTTCATGTGTGAAAAGCTTGATTCACATTTGTATGTTGATCCAAACATACTGAGCACACAGATAGCTACTTTCTGAACGTTAGGGAACTGCTGTTTTTTGACATCACTCCAAAACTTCGCGCTGCTCTTGTGCCATGGATACGGATGAATGCATAAGTTCCAGGGTACATTTCTCCTCGTCGGTGCAGGGGACCACTTATTTTGCTCTGGTTGATACGTCCCCCTCTATTGCAACAGTGAAGGGGTCTCTGGCAAAGCCCATCACCTCTGTGGGCAGAGCAAGTCCATCCAATCGACCGGCAAAAGTTCTCTTTCAACCTCGCAATGAAATCTGTCATCACATCCGTGATTTGTGTCGGGGATGTGATGTGTTTGCGGAGCGTCGGAAAATGCAGCATCCGACCCGTACTCAAGTCGGTCGCGAAATGGTCCAGCTTGACTTGGAATGCGCGCATCTGCTCCACAAGATCAATGACCGTTTTGTCTCTGTTTACGCTTCAGAGTTGAGAGAGACATGTTTTGGAGTTGCCATCATAGGACCACCGTTACTAGCACCACTAGATGCACTTTCAAAAAACGTGTTGCGTTGTGGTTTGGTGGTTTCTATGCAACGCGGAGTGTTGCGTTCATGGTCTGTACTAGTGTAGGAATTTGGCCACTCGGGAGTTGGTTCTGGGCCGCATCTGGCCCGCGGGCCGCCATTTGAATAGGCCTGCACTAGGGTCTGAGACGTACTTCCGCCTTAGCCGTTATACTGCTCGGACGCTTCCGGGTTGCTTCTGGTCTGCGTAGCTGAGCGTCCACAATGTTTTACTGTTTAAATCTGTGGTTTAAATATGAGTCGACGGAAGATTTTCAAAACGGAGCATTTGCAAAGACAAGTAAAGAACTACTCCGAGCACTGCTGTGTCCCACTTTGTACGGCGTCAGCTAAATTCAACGGCGTCCTAAGTTTCCATGGCTTTCCGACCGAACTCGAGCTGCGAAGACAGTGGCTGGTTAAAATACGACGCGATAACTTTACAATCTCCTCTCACTCCAAGGTCTGCAGTCGTCACTTCGCTACGGATCAACTAACCCTTGATGGCCGTAGGAGGCTTGTGAAAGGTGCTGTCCCAACTCTGTTTGAGTGGAATCACTTCACTGCTCAAACACCGCGGGCTAGTGTTTGGGAGAGAAGGGAGCGGCCCACTGAACCAGTCTCTCGGGAGGAGCAGGAAGAGCACATCGATGTCCGTGACCATGATTACTGCTCAACCCCTGAACCAGCTTCACTGGACATGTCCTCTCAAGCTACAGAAGACAACTCCAAAACATTGGAGGATCTGCAGAAGCAACTGCAGGAGTTAAGAGTCCAGCGAGAGTTTTGCTTACAGCGGTTTGCTGGCTCCGACGACAACATCCGATTCTATACCAGGTAATGTTTTGGCTAAATTCTATCCACGTTTTTGAGATGGGTTAGCTTATAAAGAATCCTGTTTACCTGCCGTTTGACTGCTGACTATTTGCATGCAGTGTTTTGATTGATTGATTGAAAAGTTTATTAACAGCTTGTATATTGGGTACAGTACAGTACAGCTCAAAACATACAATTGTTAAGGGGATGCAGACCAGAGAAAGACTTTCGTCTTGTTTACATCAGGGTCCCCCATTTCCAATTCATCATGTCATTTAAGACATATAAGACATATTTGACATACAGATGGCTTATTTACAATTTACATACAGGTGGGTTTTTTTTTTTTTACATACAGATTGCTTGTTTACAATTTTCATTTTAGATTTCGTTCTAATACATCCTAACCGGACATTTAAGACATACCAAGTCTACAGATATACAGTTAGTAACAGAGTCTACAATGCGAGTATACATAGATGGGGGGGGGGGGGGGAAGCTGTCCATTGAACGACAGGTTGAGATTTGTACTATTACCGGGGCCAGTTTTGCAATGCTCTCCCCCGAAGGTGCTCTTTAAGAGAGGTTTTGAAGGTAAGTATAGTTTTACTTTCCTTTACAGTTGTGGGAAGAGCGTTCCACCTTGATGTGGCATAATTGCGAAACGTGTATTCCCCCTTTTTTGTGCCAAATCTGGGTTTCACATGATTTGTGGAGCTCCCTCTGGTGTTATGATCATGGTATTCCTTGACCTTTGGGAAGAATTTTGACATGTACATGGCTACCATAGAGGTGTAGTGGATCTTGTAGACCAGGCCCATTGCAAGTAGCTGTACTCTGTCGTCTACTCTAAGCCATCCTTGGTTGTCAAAGTGGGCAGAGGTGAGGTGGGTTCTAGATGAAAGGTCAAGCAGTAGTGTGATCAGTTTATTTTGCGATGTTTGAAGTTTTATTTTTAGAGCCTTGGAGGTGCTATGGTACCATGACGTGCAAGCATAGTCATAGTACCCTTGAATGAGTGCTCCTGCCAGAGTTTTCAGGGTGTTTTTGTTTACCAGAGAGGAGATCCGGTATAGGAATCAGTTGGAATAAGTAGGCTACTCAACTTAACTGAAGTATAAGTACAAATACTATGGTTTGAAAATACTCCTGAACTGAACATGTAGAATCATAAATCATGTGTTTTCATAAGTAACTAGAAACTATGAAGGTTAACTAAATGTGGTGGAGTAAAACATACTAATACTAACAACATACTGATAATACTTTACTACAAGTGGAAATCTTCAAAACCTTACCAAAGTAAAAGTACATGTCAATATCCACTGCGTTTCTCCCAGTTGCACACTTAAGAATGAAGAGTAAAAGTAGTCATTCTGTGTAAAATGTTCCCTGTATGTTTTAGATTATTATTACTGCTGCTTTAATGTAGTTGTTACATGTTACTGCTGTATATTACTATACCTGCACCAAGTGCCTTCTTAATCAGTCTATTTGAATTGTAATGTATTATAGCAAACAAGAGGAAAGCATTAGCCCATGTTACAGTTAACGAGTCAATTAATGACTGACATGTGTCTTTTGTGTACAGATTCCCGAGCTATAACCACCTGATGGCCTTCTGGTTTTTGATTGAGCCTTCCATTTATAAAATGGTTCGTGTTACAAGAGCGATATCAGCTGCCAAGAGGAATGAAGAAGTGGTTACACGTCCATCAACGGTAGGCTACGTTTCTTTTAACACACAATCTAAACACAAACTGAAGGGAAAATGTTTCTCCAACATTTCATTGCTTTCGTGTAGGCTAAAAGGCTATAGTACTCAATCCTTTTTGAATACATCAGAGAACTAAAACAACTTAATGTTTTTCCCATGGTGTGCTACACTCATGACATTAATATAGTACCCTTTTTTTGTTTATCTTCCAGAGACAGCTGCTTCAGCCAATTGACGAGTTCTTCCTTTTTCTCTGCTTCCTGTCGGTGGGTTTGAAAGAGAGGGACCTTGCAAACCGCTTCAACGTACACCAGTCCACTGTGAGCCGCATCATTGCAACATGGACGAGTTTTCTTACAACTTTATTGGGGTCACAGTGCATCTGGCTTACACCTGCAGAAGTTCAAGCCCACCTCCCAGAGGCATTCAAAGATTTCCCAGACACACAGGTGATCCTGGATTGCACAGAGCTGAGGTGTCAAACACCATCCTCACTCCTCCTCCAAAGTGAAATGTATTCTACATACAAATCTCACTGCACCATGAAAGCCCTGGTTGGCATAGCCCCACATGGCGCAGTGACATTTGTTTCCAGTCTGTATGGTGGTTCTGTCAGCGACAAGGAGATTTTCAAACAATCTGGAATAGCTGCGTTGTTGACTGAAAACATGGCAGTGATGGTAGATAAGGGATTCCTGATCAGCGATTGCTGCAAATGCAAAGTGTACTGCCCACCTTTTCTGTCAAAGCAGAAGCAAATGCCAGCCTATCAGGTGAGGGAGACACAGGCCATTGCCAGACTGAGGGTTCATGTGGAGCGTGTCATTAGGAGGATAAAAGAGAACAAACTTTTTGATGGTGTCATCCTCCTGTCCCATGCCTACAACATCAACCAACTGTTTGCAGTAGCATGTATGCTGTCAAACTATCAGAACAAAGCACTGGTCAAGAAATGGGTGAAATAAGACAAGATGATGACACCTGTGCAGGTAGCTGTGATTAAGCTGGGTGAGCACACCGTAATCCCGTGTTGCCTGACACACGCTAGTGTTTTGTTTGAATAAATGGTAAATAGCAAATTACAATGCGTTGATTTCTTACAAATGCACTGATTTACTATTCATTACACAAATCACTTCACTTTATTGTCTTTTTAAATACAATTGTATATTTATTTACATATATGAAATGTGACAAACAATATATATCAAAAACAAAATATTGAAATCACATTTTGTTGTCATTCAGAACACATGATTGAGGGATTGCCTCCTAAAAACAATGACGGCTGAGCCAGGGTCTAGCAGCTAACTGCTTACAGAGTTAACAATGGCTACAGTGCCCACTACTTTTTTAATGACAGGTACTTCGGCATACGTGTAAAAAAAAAAGTCTACTTTTTCTCTGATTGCTCTTTGCACTTCTGGATCTGTGTATATTCTTTGCACCAGGTAGTCCTCTTGTGCCCACACTACAAAATCACACCACTGCATCCCAGATACAAGAAGTTGACGCTTTTCTTGAGCTTAGGGGAGCCACATTCCATCTGCACATATTTGCAGTCGACATCATTTGGGACATTGGGACATTTGAATTCAACAAGGCCAAATTGGGGATATTCTGTTGGGTCAAAAACAACTCCATCAGGGGAGGCACCAAGCCAGGGCGTAGAGGGGTGAATGACAAGGCCACAAGGGGAGTAGTTCACGTTTGCCAGTCTACTGTATTCAGCTGCTACTGTGGGCTCCATCTCGGCACCTCTCCTCATTTCTGCAGTCTGCCTTGTACCTTTGAGTATTCGCTCTGCAAGAGAGTTAGCAGAGCTCTCACCTCTGACGTGACAAATCTCTCTTAACCTAGAGGCAGTAACCCTGGGTTTGCGGAGCAGATGCCACTCTGAGCTAGAGCTTTGCTCACGGGTAGCCTCCTCAATTTTGTGAGACATTTCCAAATCAACAGATAAGCTGTTCATATGTAGTTGCTCCTCTTCTGAGCACACCAGCGGTAAATCACATGGCAAGATCACATACCCCTCTATGGGCAAGTGGGGTGTTGGTGGTGTGTCAGTGTGAAGTGTGGTGTACCGAGACGTCAAAGCAGGCATCTGATAGGACAGAACACTGCCCTCCTGCACAATCCCGAAGGCACTTTCCATTAGGGGCTTGTCAGGTCTCATGTTCATTGTGGTCACAAGCGGCCTGTCTTCAATGCTGAATGCTGAGTATGCCTCCGTAACTCTGAACAGGCAGGGATCTGGTAATGGCCCCACCATGCCTCTGTAGAATCCACTCCTACAAAGAATGGCAAAGACAATATAGCGCATTAATGTGACAATAAAGGTTAGGAATACAGCACCAGAATTATGAATTTTAAAAACACAGGAAACACAATTTTCCAGCTAAAATTACCTTACTCCAGTCGGCACCATCCTATTTGGTACAGGCTTGGTGAAGACCATGGAGTTGATGGGCCCTGGCTTCACACCCTTAAGGAAAAGACAATTACTGTTCGTTGAGTCACTTTAAAACAAAAACTCTGTGAAAGATTACATGTATTTGAACCTCATTGAAATTACCATTGTTCGCGGCTTGTGCCATTGCTGTTCCGATTCAGTACAGCTATGCACAGGTGGCACAACTGGCATGTTCAGTTCAGTGTAGTGTGCTGTTTGGAACAGCAATGCTACTGTGTGATTGCACAAAACAGTTCCTGCAACACAGGAGCACTGGTTGTGTGTGAGCACCACTGGTGATGAATCACGAAGCGTTATCTAAAAAAGAGAGAAGAAATACTAGTGATTAGTAACCTCACTTGTTACTATGAGCCAGGAGGTTATTATGAGTAGAATTATTGGTTATTTTTACTGACCCATTATCCTAGAAGAAGCATGTATTCCTGAATGCTTAGTGTTACCCTCTTACCCTACAATACCACAATGAACTTTCTTTGGAAACTAAGATGCCTTGAAAATTGTATTAAAGCAGTTTTGACTATATATTTGAACCCCCAAACTTACACATCCATAATCAATGTAATAATATCTGACCAATCAGCTGTGATAAAGCAGGGAGAAGTAGGACACTGTTGAGATTCCCTTAAGGTAAACTAATGTTTAACTGAACTGAAACTCAATAAACAGGGGGGAACAGTGTCAATGCTGCCTGCCTACACTCAAACTGTGTGCTGTCTCGCTCTTCCGCATTGACCTGTAGCACAAGGCTCTCACGCTGACCTGCCCTGTCAGCCTGTCTTTATTGGACACTGAATGAAGAAAAACAGAGCAACAGCGTTAGATCTATACTCACGTCAAAACATCTATGGCAACATTGCTTTACAAAAGCTGATACCATTATGCAGTGTGGCTAACAACAAGATAACCTTGGCTAGGCTATAAGGCTATTAAACGATAGTATTTGTTAGCAAAATGGCTAATGTTTTAAATAATTAACACCAGAAACAGTACATAGCGTTACCCAGAGCCCTATAGTAGTCTACTATAGTAGTAGTATAATAATAATAATAATAGTAGTAGTTATACTATAGGGCTCTGGCGTTACCTAGCTTTTGACAGCTAATGTTAGCGTAACCCGGAGCATAAGCTAGCTGGTTAGTACCGGCCCCGGTAATGGTACAAATCTCAACCTGTCGTTCAATGGACAGCTCCCCCCCCCCCCCCCATCTATGTATACGCATTTTAGACTCTGTTACTAACTGTATATCTGTAGACTTGGTATGTTTTAAATGTCCGGTTAGGATGTATTAGAACGAAATCTAAAATGAAAATTGTAAATAAGCCATCTGTATGTCAAATATGTCTTATATGTCTTAAATTACATGATGAATTGGAAATGGGGGACCCTGATGTAAACAAGACGAAAGTCTTTCTCTGGTCTGCATCCCCTTAACAATTGTATGTTTTGAGCTGTACTGTACCCAATATACAAGCTGTTAATAAACTTTTCAATCAATCAATCAAACCGGTTACCTTCTTACCTTCATAGTTGTGTATATATGACGCAGCATATAATTTGAAGCCTTTATCGAGTTTGCTGGCTGGGGCTTTAGTCGTCCGGCAAATCCGATGAACATCTGACATTTTTAATTTCGGAAGCTCTTGTAGGCAGCGGGTGTAGAAGGTCGTCATTTTCAAACAGGAAATGAATCGGCCGCTATGAGTAGAATGCGGAAGTGACTGTGCATGTAGCCTATTACCGGTTGCTGGGTGGATGGATAAAGGATTTTAATGGAATGCTATAACAGAGAGATTCAGCCATGTGATGACATGAATATTGTAGGTGAATTGATAATGACTTAAAAATAAAGTAAAACATCTAAATATTGATGTTAAGTACTATAATAAAGCCATGAAGCCCTAGTTTCAGGGTAATGCTAAGTATCTACCAATAAGTGCTGATCTGAAGGTGTGTTGTGCTGTAGAGTAGGGCCTGTTTTTTTCCATCAGTGTTTGTCTATTCTTTGTCTTCAAGGGAGTCTATTACATTAAAGGCTTAGTCCCAGCAGGTGGTTGATTGAGTTAACTCATTAGCAAAGTGCTGAGCAGGTACAACACAGCTCTAATTAACAAGCCCTAATGACCATGACCTGATCAAGCTGTGCCTGTAGAGCCTGTGTCTGCATGTGTGTACAAACATGTCAGAGAGTGAGGGCCACACCGACTGTAAGAGATCATCGAGTTTGTTTATCCAGATCTCACTCTCACTTTCCATGGGTGGGCGGTGATGTTGCCATATCTACACTTTAGCTACTGTGCATATGACATGAATATTGTAATGTGTGTGATTTTAACAGGATGATATTTATAGGTCGTTCACCAGCAACAAAGGAAAAGCAGCAACAAAGGAAAAGAGGTTAGATCGAATGAGGCAATGCCACCGCTTGCCAAAGATGGTCTAGTTTTCCTTTTTTCTCATTTTGTTAACTCCCCCTCCCCTTTTCTTTCCTTCTGGCACTTGCACTCTCTGTGACCCGAAGAGGAAAGGTCACGCAATCCCTCGCTTCCACTTGGATTAGAGAACATGGAGGGTAGGACTCATGCCACTGACATCTTAGTGCCATACACACACAAACACACATGAGTCACACAAGCAATGGCACACTGGCAATAAAGTCTGGGAGGGGATTGGAAGTTCCATATTGAGGAACCGTAAGCTCTGAGTACTTAGACTCTTGTGCATTACACCCTAAGACACAAGATACACACACACACTCACTCACATGCACACTAAGGCATACACACAGAGTGATTTACAGAGTGACTTCACCTCTGCAATGTCTTACAATGTCCATTAACAGTGAATTCTTGATGAGCACATAAAAGATTAATGGCCAATAACAGGTGAGCAGTAGAGAGATGCACATGTTGTACTCACTAAACAATGCAATGTAATAACATACAGTGAAATACCGAAAACAACCAAGCATCACAGACATGCTGATCTATCTGTGTACATAACAGGTGCATACGTACATGATTTGTACTGTCACCCGAGAAATATGAACTAAGTAATGTATGTAAAAACTTTAAGACTCTCACACACACACGGACAAATACACACTGGTTTGAAGCTGCCCATTACTCCAACCTCTCGCACACTGAGCACTCATTGTGTCCGCCGTCGGTTCATTTGAGGATAGCTGAACATCACGTCACAGACCTCATCTAATTCATTACAGACTCAAATGTCCAGGCTAAAATAGAAAAAAGCCCCAAATATTTGTCAGAATTTGATTAAGATCTGTGTGAAACTAAAGTACCACACTCTGTTCAGAGAGATTTCCTCTAAGCAAATTGACAATTATTCAGGGAATGTCATAAATGCATTTGGCCTGATCTGTCGGCTTTAGTGAAAGAGGACACACATTGATAGGTTTCTTTGGGGTTAACTTAAATGTAATACAAGCATCATCCCACCTGCTCAAATCCATTCCTTTCAAATTCTTCAAACCCAAAGATATCCAAGATCCCGATTTCGAGGGCAGGATCACTGGAAGAAAGAGAATTTGCATTATCTTACACCACTTTCACTCCAGGATCACCTTGAGAACGTGTTTGCATGGTTGCATGACGGACAGGAATTATCACATTTTCCCATGTGTTTGTTTGTTTGTGTGTGTGTGAAATAACACATTCAAAAGGGGTGTACCTGTAGTTGACATATTTATTATGTTTTGAGGTTGGTGTGTAAACAAGGCAAAGCACAAACACATTCCAGAAGATGGAGCGCCGGTTATCTGACAGAGTGTGATAAGACTTCACAACATAAACAATACCAAGGATTCCATTGGCCTCCACCTAGGTGTGTGTGTGTGTGTGTGTGTGTGTGTGTGTGTGTGTGTGTGTGTGTGTGTGTGTGTGTGTGTGTGTGTGTGTGTGTGTGTGTGTGTGTGTGTGTGTGTGTGTGTGTGTGTGTGTGTGTGTGTGTGTGTGTGTGTGTGTGTGAGACTTTCACATAAACCTTGGGTGTGTCCTCCATCTCTACCGTTTTCTGTTCAGGACTTTCCATTTCAGCATACATACCTATTTGTGCATGTCATGTAAACTGCTAGACTCATCTCTATGCTACTGTATGTGTGATTGTGTCACAATATGAGAGCAGTCACTCCTATGAGAGAATGCTCTTGTGTGATGACAGAAATATTTGGTTGTTTTGATGATAACAGTTATCAGCTGCCAGGGCTTCAAAATAAATTATTTTGGCAGTCAACACTGAAAAAAACAACCTTGGCTCACATGTGCATAAACACAAACACAGACATACACACATGCACACACATAGATATACCCAATGCTGTCGTCCTGTCCCTGTAGGTACTCGTTGGTGCTGTTGACCAGATAACTGAAGAGGCGACCATAGATGGCTTTCGCAAGCTGGTCTCTGTACTGTTCTGACATCTCCACCGTGTGGCGTCGGGTGCTCAAGTCACCTGAGGTAAAGGGACCGGGACATGGCAACACAAATGTATTACAATTTGATTAAGAGCAGTGATATTTCTGAAGTTGTGCAGTTGTGCCACTTTATCATCTTTTGTCCACGAGAGAACATTTATGTAAAAAAATTATAATTATAAAACAAAAAAATGTATTCTGTACAAATCTTGGAAATTTTAAGGTATCCATTAATCACATATTGTGTTTATGTTTTGTTTACTCTAAAAACGAATATAAGATACTGTTAAAATATATTTTAACTTGAAAATAACTATCTTTGTCAGAATGAAACAAATATTTCCGTTGACAAAGAAGATATTTAATCTCTCACAAAAAGACATTTTGGCAAATTTGCCTTTTTCCCCCCCAATTTGAACCACCTAATTCCCTTTACACTGTGCTCATTAGTCACTTACTATAAACCTTTATAGGACTGATCTTGATTGATGACATGGTGGTTGTTGAAATACAAGATGCAAGTGTGTATTATGAACAGTGTCAAGGTTTTTCCTCTGCTGTGATTCTCTTGGAGAAAAGATGAATCTGTAGTAATCCTTGTGAAACTGCTAATGTGTGTGGCATATGAATGGCCGAGTGATGGCGAAGGCCGGTGTGTTGGTACCTTTAAAGTACTGAACGTCAGAGATGAGGGCATTGCTTAAGTCCCCGGAGCACACCTGCAACAATCCAGCAACTGTGCAGAGAAAGATCAAAGAGGAAGGGAGAGAAAGACACAGTAACTCAATAACTGACAGTGTCGTGATGACAGGATGAAAAATATCACAATAACAGCATTAATCACTACATGTGTCGGAAAGGAAACGCTGATAACATCCCAGAAATACATCTACTCATTGCTACTCATCACCCTGCCAGCACAACAAGCTGAGCTCTGCCTCAGATCATTCCCACTTCATCGATCAGTAGAGCTGGCAGCAATTAGTCATCAGCGGGTTTCTGAGCAGAGCCCATAAACAAGCAGCAGGAACAGGTGACATGAGGCCAGAATCCCTCACAAGCCATGACATCACATCTCCCTGACAACGAGTGGCTACACTTTCCCGTTCAGGTGCTGATGTCGTTTGTTTACCATCTCACAAAAGGTCAGGGGTCACAGGAATAAATGTAGCGGTTGTAAGGGAGATGGAGAAAGGTTGCAAACCCAGGCACAATGAGCAGGAAAGTGTGTGTTAAATCTCTCCTCACCACCAAGAGGCTCACCAGACAGGTGAATGTCTGGCCTTTAGCTAGTGCTGGCAAGCTGCCAAGCAGAACTACAAGGGGGGGAGGAGCGATGACTACGAGGTAAACAAGCTGAGCGGATGTGATGCACCCCTCCTTTCCGCACTATCCCACCTACACACAGGGGGGAAATGTGACCACGGGTATGTGACGGGGAGGCACTGACCTCTCTCCAGCAGCTGCAGGTCCGAAGGGAAGGCTGTATCGGCATCTGTCAATGCAGTAAACCGTATGTCCCCAATATGGAGCACAGCAGATAGCAGAGTAAACACTGAGTCAACCTCCTAAAAGAGACCGAGACAGACAGAGACAGGAGAGAGAGAGAGTGGGGTGTTAGTGAGGCATTAACACAATTAAGTAAGTCAAATGTAGTCCTAATCAAAAAGATAGATTTCCCTTTTTTATGATAAATACCAACTTTCACTTCAAGTAATGCTGAGGAAATGTTTCATGATACTAAACCTCTTCAAAAGGAAAGACATTTTTTTTTGACAACACTTCCCATGAAATTAAATAAATAAATGATATGCATCAACCCTCCTCCCTTCATTCACACACTTCTCTTCCTCCGCCCCACTCTCCTTTCCTCTCTGCCCTTGAGTAGAGGACGCTTAATGGAATACCCCATTACCCACTGCTCTGAATCTCTGAGAGGGGGATGTTGGAGTTTGAGAGTGTGTGCTCGTGTGTGTTCGTGTGTCTGAATATGTCTGCGTGTGCACTCTCTCAAGGCAGGATATTGGAACTGATATCTGGGAGATAAACACAAGCATTAGTCTCTGTCTGACACTCTATACACAGACAGACTTCCCCTGCTTAGAAAAGGAGAAGAAAGGGAGCAAGGGCGCAAGGGAGAAAGAAAGGAGCGTTAATGACGATTGACCTTTGGGTCTGGACTGGGAATCTTCCCCTGATTAGAGACTTAGACAGAGACCAATGGGTGGTCTAAGACTTCCACTCCTACTCCCCCACTGCGTCTCCTGTCCTCTGGACTCTCTCTCTTATCCGGTGGACACTAGTGCCCTCTGATATAAATCTATCGCTCTACTCCTCTATCCCTTAGGCTTTGCCTGTGTGTATTGACTGCTGCTGGATTAAAAGGTGAGCTGGTGGTCAGTTGGATGCTGACAGATGCTGACTGGGAATCTAAGAATAGAACCTGATAATGGGGCTGGGAACACAGCTGGTGGTGCACACTGTAGCACACGCAGCCTTCATAAATCAAAGACCTTGTCTTCTGCATTTGGTCACACATGTCTTTAGATAGATAATTGAAACACATGATGAGTCCCAATTCAGGACCCTAAGAGTCCCAATCCCAATCTAAACGTCTAGGCCGAATATGTCATAACAGGCAGATGATGCCTGTCTCATTTTAAAGGCTGTGCCTGAACCGAGAGGACACCCTATTGTATCCTTTGGTATCCCACAAGCCATTATGCTGGTCAATTGTTTAATGGAGCATGGACAATCCCTGTCAACTTGGAAATGATCATGTCATTATTTACGAGGTATTACTGTGACAACATTGAGGCCATACATTTTTCAAATATCTTTCTTTACAAATTGTACAAAATTCAATACACTAAGCCATTCGTTTTTTTGTCTATGAGGGTACAAACACATCGTTTGGATAATTCAGCTTTAAGACTCGGGCACATTTACAGACATTATTTTGACCTGGGGATAATTCTCCTCAATGACCTCATATGTAGCTACTTTAGTGTGTGTGACATCAACACTTTAAATGATGCCTGCTGTCAATAACCTTTGAATAAACAGAGTGAACAGAAGCCGTATGCAGTGCCAATCGATACCTGCTTGTTGAAGCACAGGGCTCGCAGGGCGTGTTTGACGGCTGTGAGGCGCTCCCTGCTCTCGGTGGAGGCTTCAGCTACTGGAGGGTTCTCCCCGGGAAGTCTTCCACTAAGATACCTGGAAAAGCACAGAGAAATGTGGACAAATGTTTAAGACACCCATAAAAACAAAATTACCAAAGTGAGCAAGGTGTGTCCTATGATGAGTGTTCAGGTGCAAACATTTATTCATGTGCTCAGCAGGACTTGAAAAAAATATATATCTTTGTGTAGAAAAGTCTCAGGCACACTTTTCAGAGAGCTGTGTTTGGAAGGGAGATTTGAGCAAATTGGGTTTTAAATCTACAGAACTGGATCATGCACACCTAACAAAGACCCATGGAGACATAAAAGGATAGTGAGGTGCCAGAGGGGCTGCAAAACAGAGCAATCCAGGTCAGTGGTTACCGCATTGGTGGAGTACCGCGAATAAAAGTGCTGTTAGCATAACCCACAATCCCACTGTCGCTGTGCAAGAAAGAGCATGCATGAGTAGAGGTCTGAAACACAAACTAAACATCAGATAAAAGTAAGAGATTCTCAGAGAACAATGTGTGTTAAAAATTGATACAGACACTCATGTATTCAGGCATAAACACACACACAATCTCTCTGAAGACATTAAATATGAATGTTTATATATCGTCAGTGTTGAGTTAAACTGTGTACGTAAGCAGCTTTTCTTGAAGTAAGTAAAAACCTCTTAAACTAAGAGGCAAGAAAGATATTTAAATAAACTTATTAAATTACTCTTGTTGGTGAGAGCAACAACCAGCTGCCATTCTACCTTCACAGGTGATTTTGTGAACTCTCAAAATACACAAGGCAGCTGAATGCCATGT